TGCTCTGTTGCCCAGGCTGGAGTGCAGTGCCACAATCATGGCTCATTGCAGCCTCCATTTCCTGAACTCAAGTGATCCTCTTGCCTCAGCCTCCTGATAGCTGAGACTACAGGCATGTGCTACCACACTCAGCTAATAAAAAAAAATTTTTTTTTTTTTTTTTTGGGTAGAGATCAGGTCTTGCCATGTTGCCCAGGTTCCATTGATTAACTTAAAGTCAACTGATTGGGAACTTTGTTTTATTTATTCATTGTTTTGAGACAAGGTCTGGCTCTATCGCCCAGGCTGGAGAGCAGTGGCGTGATCTCAGCTCACTGCAACCTCTGCCTCCTTAGCTCAAACCACCCTCTCACTTCAACCTCCCAAGTAACTGGGACTACAGGCACATGCCACCACACCCAGCTAATTTTTTGTATTTTTTGAAGAGATGGGATTTTGCCATGTTGCCCAGGCTGGTCTCGAACTCATGAGCTCAAGCAATCCACCCCCTTCAGCCTCCCAAAGTACTAGGATTACAGATGTGAGCCACCTCACCCAACCTGACTGGGAGCTTTAAATCACATCTGCAGAATTCCTTCACCGAAACACCCAGATTTGCATTTGATTAGATGCCTCAGGGAAGGTGTGTGAGTATTATAAAATGGCTGCTGCCTCCTTTCTGTCTTCCAACTCTTGAGCAAGAATATTCCCATTGGTCCAACATAAATGGAAACTAACTAGAAAGAGAAATCTGTGGGCTAGAGTTGAGCCTAGCCAAGCTGATACATTAAAAAGCCATTACATCCATACTTTTTTTCCCCATAAACTAAATTTGAGTTGTGTTCCATCACTTGGCGTGAAAAAGCTTCTGATTCAGTTGCCATTTACTTACTGAGTGCCTTATGCATATTATCTCACTTAATCTTCTTATACACAAATGAGCTAGGTATTATTTGCAATTTTGAAGACTGAAGCTCAGAGGTTAAAAAAACTTTTTCAAAAGCTCAGAGCTTCAAACAAAGTTTGTCTTTCCATAGCTGATGCTATGATACCAATCTTTGCGAAAAAGGAGGCACCTGGTTGGAATATGAATTCCTCATGCAGTTTGGAAGTTGAGTTCAGCAAATTTTTATTTTAGCTAAAAAAAGTCCAAAACTTGATGTACTTTATTCATCTGATGACAGAACAAGGCTAAGAAATATATTTTTATCTTCATGACCCAATGCTTGGCCCAGATGTATTATTTGGCTCGTGTAAAGAACTGTTTGGTCTGTTTCCCCTGTTGCGTTTGTGTCTGTGTTTTTGAGATGATCATTTAAGGTTTTAACTTTTATTTGGAAGCCTCTTCTTCCCTGAAATACCTTAGATCTTCAACTTTCCTACAAACATCAGCTGCAATCACAACGTCAAGTAGATGCTGTCTAAACCTCTTGCAAGAGCAGTGAGGAAAAAAGGAATGTACAAATGAACAATATCAGAAATGAAAGAGGAGACATCATTACAGCTTTGACAGACATTAAAAAGATAAGAGGAAAGTAGGAAAAGTTTTATGCCAACAAATTCCATAACTTCCACGAAATGGACACATTCCTTGAAAATAGATACATAGCATGTGAGACATTTTAGCTGGGATCCCAGATAGTTAAATCTCCTAACTGCCAAATCTTAAGGGCACTTTCGGGATTTTACTTTACCCTTCAGTGAATTTGACACTGCTGACTGCATCCTTCTTAAAATCTTCCTGTTTTGGCTTCCATGAAACACTGTTAGTGTTTCTCCATGTAAACTTTGTTTCCCTCCTTCTTCCTTTCTGCTTAATTACAGAAATTCTATAACTTTTTATTTTGAGACAGAGTCGTACTCTGTCGCCTAGGCTGAAGTGCAGTGGTGTGACACGGCTCACTGCAGCCTCGACCTCCCCAGGTTCGGGTGATCCTCCCACCTCAGCCTCCTGAGTAGCTGAGACTAGAAGTGTGCACCACCATGCCAAGCTAATTTTTGTATTTTTCGTACAGATGGAGTTTTGCCATGTTGCCCAGGCTGGTCTTGAACTCCTGTAACTACCATTCGTATGCTGATGGCTCCCAAATCTGCAGCCCCAATTGCTTTCTTGATTCTCAATTTGACTCAATATCCAACTTTGATCAAGACAATTATCTATGCTGGCCATTTAATCAATGAGTGCCCGCTACCTCTCGGATGTGTTCAGACCCTTCAAACTCATTTCCTCCTTTGCTATACTACCCAGTTTTCATTTGGGAACTGTCCCTCCCCCATTCTCAGTCCTTTTCAGTCAGGAAGAGTCCTCCTCCCCCTCAGCCTCTACATAAGCATGTGATCTGATTTTATCCCCTCCAGCCCATCTTCCACACTGTGAACAAATATATCTCATAATGGTGGTGGTTTAAAAGCCTAGGCCCAAGTATTTGACACCCCTCCATTGAGAGGCGGGGTGTCTACCATGAAATCTGGGCAGGCTTGTGACTGCATTGACCAGTAAAGCCCTGCAGAAGTGACACTGTGTGACTTCCAAAGTTAGGGCAGAAAAGTCCACGCAGCTTCCACCGGTCCTGCAATGTTCATTTTCTGAGGGCCTCCTCTCAGGAAGTTCCCTCTCAGAAGCCAGCTGTCATATTGTGAAAAGTCCAAGTCACATGGGGAGGCCATGCGTAGGTGCTTTGCTGACCCATCCTAGTTGACCCAGCTTTCAAGTTACCCCAGTCCAGGCAGGCTGATATTCCTGAGAATCTTCTCAGAAGTTGGTCCTCTAGCCCCAGCTGTTCCAACTGTCAGCCATTCCAGTCTCCCGAGCTGAGGCTGCAGATACAAGGAGCAAAGAAGAATTATCTCAATGTGCTCTGTCCAAGCTCCTGACCACAGAATTTGTGATCAGAAAAAAATGGTTGTGTTAAGCTGCTAAACTTGGGGGTAATTTGTGACACAGTGATAGTAACTGAAACACTTATGCCACAACCCTGCTTAAAATGTTCTAGTAATTCTGCATCACCACCACCGAGATGAAGTCCAAATTCCTTTGCCATTCAGTACTAGATGCCTGGCCACCCCACCAGGTCCATCTCTGTCTCTGCCCACACAAGCCCTAGTGCCAGCCACACTGCAATTCCTGGAATCATCCCTACTTCCCTGGGCTCCCATGCCTTTGTACATTTTGTTGCTCTGCCTGGATGTCTTCCTGACATCCAAGATATTCAGCAAATCATCTGGAAAACTGGGGGATGCAAATCCACTGACTTCCCTGAAATCCTTTTTCTTCAGGAGGAATGATTGACTGGTCCTAAGACAGTTCAAGTGCTCTGCAAAAGAATATTCACAGAATATGGGTTATTTCCTGGGTCTCTGAATAAAATAATGGTTATATAGAATTGATTCTGGAACCAGATTGCCTGCATTCAGCTGCCAGCTCTACCACGGATTAGTGGGTAGCAGCCTGTTTAACTTCTCTGTGCTTCAATTTCCCCATCTGTAAAATGAAGTAATAAATAATACTTTGTACAGTTATGGTAAGGATTAAAAGAGTTAAAATGTGTAAAGGGTTTAGAATGATGCCTGGCAGAGAGTGCTTGGATAAATAAGCGTTTGTTGAAAATAAAACAAATCTGCAAATAGTTAACTGTAGTCATTGCTCAAGTCCCTTTGAGTATCGCCTTCTTTGGGACACCTCCCTGAGGCCTCCCCCACGCTAGCTGGCTTCACAGATAGGTCCATGTTGTCGCAGCACCTCCGACACATCCCAGCTGCAACATTCCTCACTGTCTCTATAAGTCTGTCTTTGTAGTTGTTAGTATCTCTCGGCTCATTTCTTAGATTCTTGAAGGCAGAGCCTGGATTTTACTCATTTCTCTCTCCCTGGAATCTGAGTCTTACTAGGCCTTCAATAAGTGTGTATTAAATGGAATCTTGCTTTGATTTTAATAAACACAGTAACTCCAGGCCGGAAAAGGCTAAGAGAGTTCTTCTAAGCCATACAGGTAATTAGTGGCTGAACAAAGACTAAAAATTTAACCCTGTTCTTCTGACTGCCAAACCTAAGCTAATGACTCGTGTGTGTGTGTGTGTATGTGTCTGTGTCTGTGTCTGTGTACACATGCATGTGTGTGTCCACCAGTATCATCACTAACCCCTGGTCATTTGCTTTTAAAATTATTTTATTCAGAGACTTATACAATAACCCTTGTTCTTTTAGGCTCTTCTGAGACCCTGGGTTGTTTATAATAATAGAGTCGATCACTATTATTCCTGAAGGGAGGATATTGCACCCTTTCAATTATTCAGATGATATGCTGGTTGTCTGGATAATTCTGAAGCCTTGAACCCCTCCCTAACGTTAGAGGCGGTAACTTTCATCCGTTTACTTTTCCCAGGTGCGGAGGCAAAGGCAGCCTTATTCAGAAAATCGAATTCAATGCAGGACCTCAAGCTGCCGGCTGTTGCTTCTACCAGCTGCCCCATTATTAACGCCAGACGGCGCTGTGTCCTCACTGGCTCTTTAATCAACACGTCAGGTTCACAAAAGGCCCAGGTTTCCTCCAGCATAGTTCAGGGGATGGTGAACGCTTCCCAACATGCCTGCAACAGGCGCATTTCTTTCTGCTTTTGATGCGTGTGTGGAGGGAAGTGTCCCATTTTTAACCAGTCTTGCGGAGACCTGGCCTGGTGTTTGAAAATCTGTTTCCTCTATTATCGATCCGATCCCAGGATTGCTTTTTCTCTGACACTTGAAACAAATTCACTCATTTTTTTTTTTAAGTGAAAAAAATTTTAAACCAAATAGAGCTGGGGGAGTCTCGCTACGTTGCCCAGGCTGGTTTTGAACTCCTGGGCACAAACAATTCTCCCACCTTGGCTTCCCAAAGTGCTGGGAATACAGGTGGGAGCCACTGCGCTCACCCCAAACAAAATCATTTAAATCACAACGCACTGAAGGCCGACTAGGTGTTAGGCGCCGCGCGATCCCTTGTCCCCATGTCCCTGGTCAAAGGCATGCTCTAGATTAGGGGACTCCGCCTTGAGGCTTTCCCGACAGTGTCAGTCAAGCACACACTCCCAGTTCGCAGGGCTTCGTGGTCAAGGTTCCCCGTTCACCTGTCTGGAGGGCGAGGTGTGTCCACCCCTTCCAGCACCTGGGCAACCAGCTCCCCTTGCGGTTCTCTTCCACTGCCTTCCCTTCGCCCTGATTTTCCATTCCTTGTGAGTGGTGGTTTTGGTTGGGGGGAGGGGACGGGGAAGGGGCCTGGCGAGGAGGGGCGTCAGAGCGCTGTCACAGGGTGTCGCGCCGCCCTCCCCGCCCCTCCACCGGGCGTGTGGGGACGCCGGAGGGCGGGAGTCTCCGCGAGCCGCGCGGCGCACGGAGCACTGCGGCCGCCTGAGTTCGGCGCTGAGCCCGGAGCCCGCAGCCGGCCGTTTCCTGCTCCCGTGCGCTGGGCGCCAGCCCCGGCCGTGCTGCCCTGCTGCTTGAGAGCACACCCGACTATGGAGCCCTCGCACAAAGACGCCGAGACGGCGGCGGCGGCGGCAGCGGTGGCGGCGGCGGACCCCCGGGGGGCGTCCTCGTCCAGCGGAGTAGTGGTGCAGGTCCGCGAGAAGAAGGGCCCCCTGCGCGCCGCCATCCCCTACATGCCCTTCCCCGTAGCCGTCATCTGCCTCTTCCTCAACACTTTCGTGCCGGGACTGGGTAAGACACGGCGGTCGCGACCCTTGCGACCTCGACCCCGCAGCGGGAGGGCGTAGGGGGAGAGACGGGCGCTGCCGGAGACCTCCTGGAGATGCTGCGCGCTCCAGTGCTGCGACCACGCACGCCCGCCGGCTCCCGGCGTCCCCTGGCAGATGGCAGAAGCTCGTGGAGTGGGCACCCTAGAGGAGAGAGGCTGCTCTGGGGTCTCCGACCCGCAGGCGGGGCCCCAAAGAGCGGAAACTTTGCGGCCAATGTTGGAGCCCGAGGCGGCGGCCGGAATGGCTCTGCCGGCTTCGGGGAAGGGCTACAGTCCGGGCGTCCCGATTGCCGCTCCTCTCCGTCGCGCGCATGGGTCCGCGAGCCCATTTCTCCGAAAGGAATGGGGTTGAGGCAGAAGGAGATCTTGGGCTTCGGTGGCAAGGATCAAACTCCCGGGCGTCGAAGTCAGCTGAGCAGGGGAAAGGGGACAAACTGGGCTAGAGACACCCGCAGACCCCTCTGATTCGCGGGATGCGGACCGTGTGGGGACGAGAACTCTAGCCAGAGTCTCCTTCGCCTCATTCAGGGGTGCCTGCACTTCCGCGAGCACCCCGCACGGCTCCAGGGGGATGGGGGATGATTTTATTAGTTTGGATGCACGTGGCCAGAGATGAACCCATAGCTCCCCCGGATCCCTTCCGTTCCTGAGAAGTAGAGAGTGCGCCGATGTAATTCTGTGCAGGACTCTGGCAGCCGGCAGGGGTTCTGGTGGCATCTATGTCCCATGTTTTAAAGCGGAGGCCCCTTACAGAGATGGTGCGGGAGGGTGAACGGAGGCAGGGAATGAGAAGTTTTCCTGACCCTCCCTCCCTTAACTCCACCCCCAAGTCTCTGCCTGCACGCCCCTCCCCTCCTCCAGCTTGGCACTGGCTGCTCCTACGTGCTGGGAGGTGCCCCCCTCTCTCCCATGCCCGCCCGAAGAGGCAGGCGCCCTAGTGCCGTCTCCGGGAGAAAGCGCGCCCCTGTAGCCGAGCCCGTTGCCAGCGTATGGCTCCAAGTTCCCAAGAGCAGAGGCCAGCTGGAAGGGTTTTTCAGTTTGACTTTGGCCTTTCTCACGGTCTGCTCGCTCTTAGCCTGCTCAGCAGGGGCCTCTGCTGCGGTGATAGCCAAGGCCACAGCCACCCACGCAGGACCCGGTCGTTCACTTTCCCCTCCGAGCTTACTTGTCTTTCTACCCCAAAGGGCTGCTCCGCCAGAGCAGCCTATCTGAGCAGTAAGTTAGGTGGTCTTTAGTTGGGCTTCTGTCTCCTGGGATGCTTCCAGCAGCCTGTCCCCCTGGCTGGTGTCATCAGATCAGCTCTCTTTGCACATTTAGATACTGCAAGGAGGCAAGCTGATGTTAATTTAGTTTTATCAGAAATTCCCACCTGCTGGAGTAAAAAGAGACTGCCTGCCCCTCCCTCTGGCGGATATGAAGATCCTCCTGAGCCAGCATGCATCTTGATTCACCTTTTTTTTTTTTTTTTTTAAGTGGTGAGGTAAATGCCACCCTATGGTCTTTTGAGGAAACAAATGCATTGGTGCCAGGTGAGAGGGGCGCAACCAAGTCACTGCTGCACGAGGAAACCACCTTGTGGGAGACCAGCCCCAAGAGACAGCAGCTGCCCACCCATGCACCTAGGTGTGCCCTCCTGTGTCTCCCCTCACTAGGTGCCTTTCCTAGCCTTAGCCCTGCTGCATTGACAGCATCGGCTGCAGGGCATCGTCCATTCCGCTGACCCCTGACTCTTTGCCCTGGGGATCCAGCTTTTCCCTTTGTGAGATCAGAATCCTATGGGATTTTTGTGAAACAAACAAACAAACAAAACAAACCATTATAAGAAACCAGGAGAAAATAAAGGGAAGACATGCAAACCACAAAAGTAATAAAACAGGTGAGCTTTAGGTGCACAGATTTCTGAATTTTCAGTGACATACTCCTGGCTTTTTTTTTTTTTTTTTTTTTCATTTTGCTTTGGTTGCTATTGTACAGTTTCCTGGGTGCACAGGCTCCAGCTCCTCTCCACACAGAATGATCCTTAATGGTGGTTCTCATCTGTAAGTCAGGCACACCTATCTCTTGGCGTTACTGAGAGGATGAAACGTGATTACCTAAAGCCCAGTGTCTTGTGCATAGGAAGCTCTCTGGGGATGGTGGGTCCGTCTTGCTCTTCTGCAGAGCTGAGCACTGGTCCCATCTCTGGGTGGGGGTCGCTGCAGCAGGGGCAGCACTGCCCTCTGGACTACTCAGAAGCAAAGGCTCCTTGAGTGCTTTTGATCTCTCTGCTCCCCTCTCCACCTGCAGTGGAGTCCCAGGCAACAAAGCAGCTCAGACCAATCTTGCAGGTGGTTTTATTGCTCTCCTCTCCCAGGAATGGTTTAAATGGCCCCAGCTCTTGGAAATCCACCACTTGGCCCAGATCCACTTCTCCAAGGCCTGCTGGCTAGTCTGAAGCTCCTGGGACAACTGAATATTCATGGCTGATTCTGCCCTTTGATGAAATGCAGCTTCTTTCAATTCACTCATTCATTTGACCAACACAGGCACCTACCACATGCCAGGCATTGACTGGGGTTGTGATGATGAATAAATCAGTCAGGATGTCATAGACTGTTGAGGAAAATTGATGCCAACTTTGTCTGAATTTGATAAGTGCTAGGATGGCAGCAGGAGCAGAGTGTTGTAGCAGAAATTAATTCTTCCTGGGTGTGAAGGAAGGGGGCTCAGAGAAAGCCTCCCTGAGGGAGTAGTGTTAGGTTAGACCTTGCTGAGAAGATCTATCACATGGCCTAAGCACTTGCCATCACACTAAACTCCCATTCTGGAAATTGCTGAGACCACTGGCCCAAAGATCTCTTCTTTTTTTCTGGAAACTTCCTTCCCTGCAAGTACTCTCTTTGATTGCAGATTGGATGAGAGGGCCGTCTTTGCTGAATGAAGGCTTGTTTATTTTTTTTCCCTCTGATGTAGGTGTCTCATGTCCATTCAGTCTTCAGGACCTGCCACAGAGAAGCCCCATCCTTAAAATTCCCCAGCGCCTTCTCCACCCAAGCAACAGTGCTCTCGGATAACACTCATATCATGAGTGGGATGTGCCCTCTTTTAGGGAGTGGCTGGAAAGGAGAAGTGATTTATAATCACTCCAACTCCTCACTGGAACAATGAAAAACAGTTTTTACAAATGGGCATTAGTAAAGAGTCACCTTTAGTCCTACTCAGTGAAACTCTACTAATAAAGACCACCGTTGGTACTTTCATGTTCCAACAATTAGGGTGTTTATAAGTATATACACAATTATTCATACTTGTAATGAAAGTTCATTGTTACGCCCCCAAATGGCCAGAGAGTTTGTCCAGTGGTCAAGGGTATCGTTATACTTTTGTATTTAAAAATTATATCTATCTTGATTTGGTGAAACGAAAATGTTGATATCTCAGTGACAGGGAAAGTCAAAGGGAGAAGGACCTTCATTGACCTTTAACCACTCCACTGGACTCAGGACATCAGATAGGAACAATCTATTCCTAACACACTGCCTACCTTTGATGCTGCTAAAGTCTTGCTTGCTAAATAAGAGCACCACAGGCTGGCTCTGCTTCTTCTCTCTCTCTTTCCTCTAGACCCAAGTCTCAAACTGATGATTAATCATGTCCCACCTCCCGGCATCTTTTGTATCATAGATTTTTTGTTGCTGTTTTGAGACTTTATTCTTTGTCTATCTAAGTAGATCTTAAATTCCTTGGGAGCAGCAACTGTTTTAAATGTCTTCTTGAAAGAGTACGTTATCCACAAATACATATAGACTAGAATTATACTCCTGGAATAGGCATTAGAGAACATCTGGTCCAAAGCCTTTATTCAATATAAAAGGGAAGTAGGCTTGAGGATGCAAGGACCAAGGAAGTTTACAGCCTACTAAATCTTTGGAAGGAAGTTCCTGAAGAGGTTTTTCAACAAAATACGGGAGTAAACCGAGAAAGGAGATACGAGATTCAGGAAACAGAGGATCCTATACAGAGTAGCCAGGAAAAGCAACCCCAGGATGAAATTATTCAGCAGAACCAGAGAGTAGTTACTTTTCATTAGAGTGGAAGGAAAGAGGTCTCTGAAGGTGACATGAGAGAAGGACATTCGAGAGAGTAGAGAGTATTATTAGGACACTGCAAAAAATTAAGTTTGTAATGAAAAGCAGAAATCAAGCCAAAAAAACCACCCAAACAAAACAGAAGGCAATTAGTAATTGCAGTAAAGACAAAGAGCCATGCAAAAGCATTAAGATTCAAAAATGAGGCAGTTTGCCCAATCAGGTCAGAAGGACAGCAGGCTTCAAAAGGAAAAAAAGAGTCCAAACAATAAATGGAGTGGGAAGAAATTTGGAGGATATTAGGGATATGATGTAGAAGGCAAATTTTCTTCTATCAACAAGAAAAAAGAAACATAATTGGAAACTTCTGGAAAAACAAAATATTTCTTATGAAAGGGATAGCCCGAATATGAAGCAGTCCAAAATGTGGCCTGATTTTGAGCATGTGGTGGAGTGTAAGAAAGGCTCTAAGCACATAGGGTCTGTCATTGAAACAGTGGTGCATGATATGAACTCTTTGGTTCTGCGGTAAAGAACATTTGCTTAGTCATAATGTAAATGCTGCTTAGTGGCTTTCAACTTCTAAAATCAACAACAAAGCACTGAAGACTACTTAAGAATAGCTATAAAGAAGTATGTAAAGAGTTTCTGGCTTGACAATATAAAAGAAGTTGGAGAGTAGAAGAATAGAGAAGAGGAATTGTGATAGATTAAATTGTTGTTCCCAGTTATTCACTGTTCTCCCTGAAAGAGGATTTCACACCCCCACCTGATGCCATATGGCTTGCCTGCCCTTGTAGGAGAATATTTCCTCCCCTGTCCACTGATAATCCGGTTTGGCCACGTGACTCGCTTTGGCCAATTGAATGTGAGTGGAAATGACATATTCCATGCGG